TTATCAGCACAAAACATCCGGTTCATAATTGAAGGTATTTGGAGATAATCCTCTAGTAGTAGGTCCAATCGTAGCGATGAAAGTTTTTCTCTGTCCATCATCCTTCTTCGTCTGATTTCTTTACTTTCCCCAGTTTGAGAATCCCAACATCCCTAAAGAACGTAACATAGCTTCACAACCCGTTGGCGAAAATACAACTACCCATCTAACATCCCTATCCTTAGTCTCCTTCAACAGATTCGTGAAGTTCTCCTCGAAAGATTCCATCACTCCAGTACCATAAACAACCAGTTCATCGACTTGAATTCTCTTTTCGTTTGATAAATTCGGATCCATTAATGTTTTAGGAATGATATCTCTTCTCTGTTCTCCGACCATGAAAAGCAGAGATGGTTTTATTGTACGATCTTTATACCAATTTCCATAATGTTCCAACATATAATGTGCCAATGCTTCTCCATTTCCTGTTTCGGCTCCAAAGATATTTAATGGCGGATTTTGAGGAATCGATCGTAAAGCTCGAGATGTAGCTGGTCCAACAGTGTATATCGGTATATCTTGGAGATAAGGCCATTTATCATCCACTATTAAATCATCAGTCAATAATCAATATCTCAATGTAGTTGCAAACATACCATCTTTCCCGTCTCTCCCCTCCTCCACCAATTTAGCAAACAATTCCACAGCCCTCTGACTTGTAAAAATCAACCCTCCATATCTCTTCCTCTCCTCTTTCCCAACTTCCCTCTCCTTAAGTAACCTCTTAACCACCTTAATCCCCTCTTCCATAAACCTATGTTCCAAAACCGGTACAAAAATGGGTTCAAAACCCCTCTCACTCTTCATTTCCCTTTGTCCATACTTCAATGCATTAAAACTTACCTCCTCAAACCTCTCCTCATACCCATCATTCGGCACACTCTTCGTCTTTAATAGAAAAACAGGTATTTTCGTCATCGTTACTATTCTTTTCGTCTTTTTCCTTCTTCTCCTTATTCATCCAATAAAATTCTCACAATCAACCATGGAAAGTAAAGTAAAATAAAATAAAATTCATCACACTTCACACAACTAACTCAGGAACCAAGCTCCAACAAACTAGCAATAGAGCTAGCTAGTGGGGTAGAAGAACTAAGATCCGTAAAAAAATGACGATTACCACATGCGAAACTCCAACCCCACCTAAAATTAAGCTTAATTCAAACCCCTGTCGTGTCGCGGAAATAACCGATGATTTTCCATCTAAAGTATTACAAACCAAAGCTTCAATATCTATTTCTCGGTATTTTTGTTCTTTTCCCATTTTTCCACCTTCTCATTTTCCTCTAATTTTCTTTCCTATTTCACTCACAACAAAAAGACAAAATGGCAGACGATACGCGGAACGATTTAAACGACAATGCTCCTATCACAACCACTTCCAGTACTTCCGAAGCCCCTCCAAAAAAATACCCAAAAGGCGTTATATTAGGAAAAGACGGGAAACCGTAAGTCTTTCTTACTTGCCAACCTCATTCCTATCCACAACCCCAAAAAAACCTCCCAATCGCACATCTAACATAAAACCCATCTAGCTGCCGCTCCTGCAACTCCTTCGCCTCCTTCACCAGCACCACCAAGAACCTCTCAACCAACATCCCCTCCACACCCCCCACAGACTGTCCCCCCTCAATCGAAACCCTCGGCCGCGCCTCCTGGACATTCCTACACACACTATCCGCATCGTATCCCGCGAACCCCAGCGCAACCGACCGCACAAATATAAGCACGTTTATGAATCTCTTCTCGCAACTCTATCCCTGTTGGACGTGCGCGTCTGATTTTCAGGAATACATGGCTGTGAATAAGGTGCGCACGGAGAGTCGAGAGGAGTTTGGGAGGTGGATGTGTGAGGCGCATAATGATGTTAATAGGAAGTTGGGGAAGAGGGAGTTTGATTGTGCGAGGTGGGAGGAGAGGTGGAGGACGGGATGGAGGGATGGTAGGTGTGGGTAGATTAGACATGGGTTTGAGGAAGGGATGGGGATTACCATATTATATAAAATGGGATGGGATGGGTGGGGGATGTATGATATATGATGAGATGATATGATATAAAAGGCAACCCAGCATAAATCGGCGTTCAGGGTCAAAAATCAAGAGGTCATAGTTCATGGATCAAGGAGGTATTCTCAACTCAAAACTGTATGTATACGAGTACACTATAACTTCTCTCTTCACACTAAACATTAATTCAAGAAACTAAACCGCTGATGTATAACATATACCGCTAACCTATGTAAAAAAACCACATACGTCTATCCACAAAACCCGCTAAGTAAATCCCGAACCCCTATCTCCACGCTTAACTCTAATACCAAGAACCGAGTTTCGTCTCATTATTCCACCATCTTCATTAGAATGAATAGGTGTCCAAGCCTCCTCTTCTGCATCACGCTTATTCTGCTCAGAAGTCTTCAGCCGTCCTGGTAGATAGGTTGTACCCAAGGTACTTTTTCAATATCCACATTCATGTCCATCTCCAACGCTTCCCCAGAAATTCTTTCACTCTTTAAAGCTGGTTCTTTACAGATGAAGTCATCGTTATCACTA